AATGTTCTACCTACTTGGTTTCACAGAATTGTCCTGGTTGGAAAGGAACTCTAAGATCATGGAGTCCAAACAATCAACACAAAAAAAACCACAACCTTGTCCACTGGAGCATGCCCTGAAGTACCAAATCTACATGGCTTTTGAATACCTCCAGGGATGGTGACTCCACCATCTCCCTGAGCAGGCTGTTCCAGTGTCCAATCACTCTTTCAATATAGAAATTTTTTTAAATATCCAGTCTAAACCTCCCCTGCTGCAGCTTCAGGCCGTTTCCTCTGGTCCTGTCATTATTCACTGGGGAGAAGAGGCCACCACCCACCTCCCTACAGCCTTCTATCAGGCAGTTGCAGAGGGTGATGAGGTCTTCCCTCAACCTCCTTTTCTTCACACTAAACAACCCCAGTTCCCTCAGGGGCTCCTCGTATGACTTGTCCTCTAGAACCTTCACCAGTGTCTTCCTTGATTCTTCTACCTCCACACCTCTGCCTCAAGGAAATACCTTTTACTACTAATTACAGCATCTAGTGCCATTGCCTGCTCTCACCCAGGACTCTGGGGAGGGGAGCAAAATCTATTTGGACATAGTCACTCCCTGATGTTTATCTCCCTCTCTGTTTTAGACACAAACTCCTCCATCATTTCTCCATCCCCAGATGATTTGCCCCACAGCAGTGGCAGTGACAGATGCCTGTACACATGCAGGGTGTGGCACAGCCTGCCCACACCCCTGCTCTGCACAGCCAATGCTCAGGAGCAGGTGCCTCTCTCCCTGGGAATGGGGGGTCAGGTTATCACACTGCCTGGGAGTGAGGGAACCAAGACACCCAGAGGTGTCTCACACAGAACCTGTGTGAGATGAGACAGGGTTTGCAGGTCAGCGTGTACCAGACCCGGTGATACAGCTGGGAAACACAAACACACTTTCCTGCACATAACCCCCTTCGTCGTGACTCTGATGACCCAGGACTCATATTTCTGAAAGCTTTTTCTGCTTTCCAGTCACAGCTGCTGCCAGAGGTGGGGGCTCCGCAAGCGCCCCAGCAGCCGGGGAACAGGGCCCAGCACAGCCCCCAGAGCCCCTCACCTTGGCCAGGTCCAGGGGGGTCTTCACTTCCTCCACATGTGCAGTTGGCTCCACATATGCAGGCATCTCCTGCTTGTTCCTTCCTTTGCGTTTACCCTTTTTTGCCTGGTCTCCAGCCCGAGGTGCCTCCGAAGTCTCTGGAAGTGTCAGTAAACACAAAGAAGGGCCAGTAACCACCAGCAAGAGAAAGATACCCCTGAACTCACACTTGGTGAATGAAAACGGGCTTCGCACTGTCATGACTAACAGAACTAGGACCAGCTAAGGGCATTCGTGGTACACAACTGTTTATGAAGAGATTATCTGAGACAAGCTCAGCTGAGACTTCAGTTCCCTCCTCCCTGTGCCACTCACCGTCCTTTTTCCGACAGGGTGGCAGAGGCTCAGAGGGCAGCTGGGAGGATTCCCTCCACCTGGACAGCAGCTCTTCCACAAACCAGCTCTTCTTCCCATCAGTCCCCTGAAGGAGGTCAATGACGTACTCCCGGATCTCCTCCTCATTTGTTATTGACAAGATGTACCTGCAAGGGGATGGGATGGAGAAAAACAGCTAAAAGGGCTTTTGTTCTGAGGAAACCAATTGTCTAATTGCACGTTCTGCAGTTTATCTCTCCTCTTCAGGCCAGGCTTCTGCAGAGATCATGGTAAGAAATGGGTTTCTGAGTCAAATTTTGAGAAGGACGCTTTGGGAAATCCCTTGTGGCTGTTTCACTGAAAAAAAACCCCTGAAGGTAAAGTATCCTTCTCTCCCTGTTCCAGCACAGAGTGACATCCCCCCAGACTCTTCTGTCAGACACAAAAAAAAAATCACCCTGCGACGTAGCTCCTACCGAAGTCACCTCAAAACATCAGCCATAAACCAACAAGCTCCTGCTTCAACCAAAGGCGACATCAGTGTGTCCCTCTTCCCTCCCCCACAGAGACCCCCCAGGCCTCCCCAGCCCCTCCTGCCTCACAGAGAAACCCCCAGGCCTCCCCAGCCCCTCACAGAGAAACCCCCAGGCCTCCCCAGCTCCTCACAGAGACCCCCCATGCTCTCACAGGCCCTCCTGCCCTG